GGTGTATACCAAAGCAAACAATACAATTTGTAACAATGACAAAGCGATCGCGACTAACGCATAAAGTATTTGGTCGTGGGTTTGAATCCTGAGAAAAGTTAGAAATTAAAAGGTCGGTAAGGGCCCAGAAGGGTGCAGCCGGATCAATTACTAAGCAAATAAAATGAAGCGTTTCCGCCCCATGCCCCACGTAAGGGAAATGAGATTCCATCCCTTTACTTATCTATATTATGTTTGTTGGTACCTACTAGAAATGGGTTGTTCTAGACTTGTTCAAAATATAATAAAAATCTAGTATTCAACAAGAAATTTCGATTTTAGGTTCAGAAGTAAATTAAAAAAATAAGTAAAATAAATGGAATGGAATAAGCAAAGTATCCACATACCGTTAGAAGCTCGAACAAAAATTTAATAACGATTATTTTAAATAAAACACTTTAACGGTTTAAAACGCGATATATTAGTTAAACTTATTCGAAAATGATTTTTAACTTCGGCCCGACGTTTCGGATACTTTGCAGCAGCCGTGGTCACGGGAAGACGTTTTGAACCGTTTTATTTAAATGTGTACTAAACTACTCCCTTAAACTATAGACAACGATTATTTATTTTTTAGTTAATCAAATAACTAAGACTATAAATATATATACACTAGCTGTGACAGCGACTTCGTCCCCGTAAACCAAAACTGTCATCTTTATAAGTTTTAGTCGTTAGCCACAACTTCGGTCGCGTCCATCACGTGACACGTCGTTCTTGTAAGTCAACCTTAAAACATAGATATATAGCGTCGCGGACATTTTTTTTATCATTCAGAGAGGATTCCTTTCGTACATATTTTTGGATAGCTTGGACCATATTTAGATTTTCGCACCGTGCGCATCGGAAATTCATAGAGAAGAAAAATTTTCCCCGCTTTTTCCACATTTCCCACAGTTTCGTCGCTCCTATTAGTCAAATAGCTTGAGAATTTTTAAATTCAAAGCAGTAGTTCCTGAGATTAGGGTATTCAAATAAACAAACAAACTCTTCAGCTTTGTATATTAGTATAGATTGGTACCACATACTACTTTTTAGCATAATATATACAATTCTGTATTCTTTAATAAACAAATTTAGGGTAACTTCACATTTTCTGCTAGTTGTGTAGTGTCACACGACAACATTTTATGACTCTTCCAGCATTTCAAATCAGCTCGAATCCGTCCAAGTAATTCATTCGTGACAAACTTTTACGAATTATTCTATGGCCAGAACTTGTTGAGATATTCCGATTTAATTTTCAAAGTTTCAACATACATAATTGATCGTGTGCTGAAAACGATTTGTATAATTTGAATCCTGAGGGATTTTCATGTAAATGTTGTGGGTAAAAAACGGTGTAGTTGAAGACTTGATAGCAAGCGATTAACGAGCCCGTTGGTCCAATGGTAGCAGTCTATAGCTATATAAGGATCAACGGGTCGCAGCTTCGATTTCTAACGCCTACAACATGTTTCAAAAATCGAAAGTGAAATCCTGTTTCCTGTTAGTGGAAACAGGATTCGATCGCCCCGTGGGCCGAACACATTTTTGTGTTCGTTTTACTGATCCGTTCTTTAACAGGCAAGTAGTTGATCAGACTTCTGTGCCTTGCCCGACCGAAACAATTTTTTGTTTCCCTGGGATCAGCTGATATTTTATCTTAAACAAGCTTAGATTAATCATAATTTTTATATACAAATTTTAATTTCTTCCATTTTGTATACTATATGCAACTCACTGTCGTCTCGTGTCAGCTTCATGTCAAGGCAAATTCTTGTATAATATATAAATTATACATTTTGTTTATATTTATGAAGAAAATTGAACACCCGTTTTGATTTCCTCAGAATCAAATTTCAGTAAAAATCTGGAAACAATCCGTCGTACTTAATAAGATTTGAATTTGTTTAATTCAATACTTCGATCATTATGAAAGCAATCTCCAGTGAAACGCTCCTTTCAAATGCAAATTATTTTAAATAAAGTAAAAGGAAAGCGTTGATGAATTTTAAATCTAAGACACCAGCGTTTTGCCACGGCCTAAAGTTATTTTTATTTATTTATTTAGTACTAGCTGTGCCAGCGACTTTGTCCGCGTAGAATAGTTATTTTGGGTAACCAAATATGTTTTTACAAAACTCCCCTTCATCTTTATAAATTTAAGCTGTTACACACGACGTCGGTCGCGTCGCGGTCGTTCGGATCCTGTCGTTCTTGCGAGTTCTCTTACGAGATAGACTTCTTTTTTTGATAATTTAAAGAAGAATCGTACTCTCGTACAATTTGTTTGTGTCTCTTGAACCGTTTTTGCAGCGTACGCAATGGAAACCCACATGGATGAATAATTTCTCCCATTTTGTTCATATTACCCGCTGTATTTTCGCTTCTGTTTGTCACAGCGCGATGTTTTATAGCCTGTCTCGATAAATGCTCTAACACAAAAATATTTTTTCAATTTAAACCCGTAGTTCCTGATATTAGCGCGTTCAAACAAACTCTTCAGCTTTATACATATATAGATAGATATAGATTTATATGCGTGAATTATACAAGAACGTACGATGTTGTTTTTAAAATAACAAGTTTTTTCTTTTAATAAATTAAAGAGCACTATTTAAATTAGTACTTCGTAATATATTGTCTGTAATTTGTGCACTTAGTAGTCCACAGAATAGTCCACTTTTAACGGTTTAAAATGCGATATATATGGGTTATTTTAATCACAATTTACTTTAACTACGGGTACTCCTGTTTAAACGTTTTTTAATCCTTTTCAATTTATACCTTTCTAGTTATAAAATGTAATTCAAAGAATCTAACAGTTCGCGAATTTATTTCGGCCGATTTCGACTAATTGTTATTTAAGTTTCCGTCTTCTTACAAAAGCCACGCCACGACACGGAGAGACCAATGAGTTTGTGCTCTCACCCGGAAAATAAAGGTATTGTTATGCAAATCTTGAGATACAACTAACTAACAGTTAATTGCGCCTTTAAAGAATTATTGTGACCATTATCCTAGAATTTGTTAATCGAATTCAATTCAAATCGATGCGAACCTACAATTATTTAGATAAGTGTAGGTTCGAATCCCTTTTACTTTGTTATACATTTTTTATACATATATACGCGAGTAGTACACATTTATCTAAAATACTTTAACGGTTTAAAACGCGATATATTTTAGTTAAACTTGTTTGAAAATGAGTCTCCCCGTGACCACGGCTACTGCAAAGCAGCCGAAACGTCGGGCCGAAGTTAAAAATCATTTTCAAATAAGTTTTACTAAAATATATCGCGTTTTAAACGGTTAAAGCATTCTATTTAATTGTGTTCTACTCGCGTAAACTACAGACACTATTTAATGTAATACTAACTAAAATTAATTACTACTAAGACGAGTAAAAATACTTTTGAGGCTTAAGTGTCGAAATATAATGAATATTGAAATTTTCATCGTCTCGATGCTTTTAACACCTGTATTGAAATTTCAAATGAATTAAGAAAATTGTCTGAGTTTTGAACGGTTATCTATTTTAATTAGGATTTAGATAGTACTTGTGTTTGAATGACCTTGAATGTCTCACTTAAATTCTAGTTATTTTGTTATAGCTAATACATTTAAACTATAAAAAATATGACACGGACGGGAGTCAATCCTACGACCCACAGTGCTAGTGCTCCGATGTTTATGAACTGTGAATATTATGTATGCAGCTTAATTTTTTTAGTGTAAAGTTAATTAAATGCATTTTTAGTAATTAAAAGCCTTTTTTCTTTTCTCCTGTATTTCAGGTTGCCTAGAAGAGATCGCTGCCTAGCGATAATGCCGCCTTTTCATAATAAGTAATAACGTAAATTTTATATCTCTTGTAGTATTAACCTAACCCTATTAAAAGATATAATTTATGCATCTGCTTAAATGTAAATAGTGCAGTCACACAACAACACAGCAAAACACCGGCTGTTGCCAATTTTTTCGCTTCGTTATGCAACATCCATAAATCTATAGCTTTTTGGACGATGTGTTGAAGTTAATATTTCTCTAAAAACACAATACTCGTTACAAACACAATTACTATATCTTTGAAATGCTGTTTCGAAACTTTAACAGCATTTTTCCTTATTACGCAAAAAATATTCGTTACCCGTAACTTATGCACGGCATTATAGAGAACTAGTGATGCCATTTTACGGAGTGTAGTCGTTGCCACAGATGACACAAGGTTAAATAAATATCTATTATGTATGGACCACTATTTTTACGACAACTTTTTATTATTTTTATTTGTCATTATTATTAAACTCGACGTTTGTAACGCTGTTGTATCGTGTATGAGTGGGACTTCTCCCTTCTATTGACGTTGACATTGCTTACATCCCATCCTTCTCCAAATTGAATCAAACAAAAGAAATTATAATCCATGCATTTGCGTAAATTTTTAGGATGTTTAATAATTTTAGCATGTAATTGTGGTTTTTACTAAGTGTAATTGAGGTAGTTAATATATAATCCAATGTTTCAAAGTATTTTGACTTGAACTTACGATTTCATGTAAATTGTGTGTATGTATACCATACCATAAAATGCCATGTAAGAAAAATACACTATACGTTATATGCTAAAGAGACATGAAAATTATACCTAAAAGAGATCGAGGGATTAACAATAAAAACAATAATCGTACACATCCATATTCATGCTGTATTCAAACGGGCCTGCATAATTTTTATAGAACAGAGAAATGGGTCGAGAATTATGGTATGTAACTTGCATATTAATAAAATTGCCGACAAATAATGCCTACTGTTGATAACTACTGTCTTTGTGCTCTTAGTTTTTATACTTTTAAAAATGCAATTGTCTATTTGTCTAACCCAAAAGAATTACTATATCACATTTGTAGAATTACGTAGTCTATACGTTACTAAGCAGATGTCCCCGACAGTCATTGTGATTAATTTTTTCCAATCCTGCTAATCCGCAGGAATCAATCCATCAGCTATCATCTTCTGTCTCTTGGCTTCCTCTCTAGCTCTCTTCTCAGCGTCTTTCTTCTCCTGTTCCTCTCTCTCCTCTTGAGCCTTCTTTAATGCCATCGCAGCCAATGTTTTCTGATCCAATTTGTAGAAGTTAATGGGTTCTTTAATATATTTGACATCTTTCGCGTTCATGTTCTCTATGAACTTGACGTAATTGAAAGTGCCGTCTTCCATGTTATAAGTTTTATCCTTCATCGCCAGTTTAATCCAATCGACGAATTCTATTTCTATCAAAGGTTCACCCCATACTGTGAGTTCTTCTCTTAGTGTCTCGAAATCGGCGATACCTAGATTATAACAAATATTTAAATTTAAATAAAACACTTTAACGGTTTAAAACGCGATATATTAGTTAAACTTATTAGAAAATGAATTTTAACTTCGGCCCGACGTTTCGGATGCTTTGCAGCAGCCGTGGTCACAGGGAGACTACACCGTTAAAGTGTTTTATTTAAATGTGTACTACTCGCGTAAACTATAGACAGTATTTAATATTTAAATTTTTACTAAGTTTGATAGAAATTCTATTAAGAGTGTCTTTAAAGTACATATTGAAAAAGAGACTATTAAAATTTAAGAACTTCAAAATTAATTATCTGAGCATTGAGATTACAGCTTTTTACAATTATGGTTATGCCTTTTATGTTAAATTACCTTTTTCTTCGTCATCATGAGAAAGAGCGGCCATAGCTTTTGTGACAGCCAACTCGAAGTCATCACCCCAATTCATCTTGGCCTCAATCATAAATAGAAACTCATGGTACTCCACTGTATCAACTAGATCATCTTCTAGGAAAAGCCTAAATAATTCTTTTATTTCGTGGCCTTTTGGATTGAATCCTAGCTTCCTTAACATGAAAGGTATTTGTTCTAATTTCACCTAATAAAAAAACTTGATGATTATTAATTTAACTTATGCGTCAACTTTTAAATGTTTTTAATTATTTTGTTAATAAAGCGTTTATTTCTACTTATTTTGCTATAAATTATCGTATAAGGTAAAAGTTATACCTGATAAAGCCCCCAAGATAACGATTTGTGTTCCGGCATTTTGCGTAAAAGGAATAAAGAATTTATATTGGGATAACCTTATCAATATTTTCTTCGTCGCACGCCTTGAATAGTTCTTTAAATTTCGCCAAATCCTCAGGACCGAAGCAAGCCGGTGGTGGTGGGGGCTTTTTGGGTTTCGGTGGAGGTCCAGAAACAGCTGCCGCCTTAGCGGGTGCAGGAGGCTCCTTACCTTTACCTTTCTTTGGTGCCATTTCGATACGGTCAGTTTAAAACTTTACTTTAAATTTTAATTCATATTATGATGTCCTTATTTGTTTGTTTTATGGAAGTAATATGTCAAAGTAATGTCTCTTATATTTTAACAGATTATAGTATCTATCTTTCTATATTTTATTTTATTTCTAATATAATGTACACATGGTCTGTGCCTATTCAGTTTGAGATATCTTCGGGTTAACTAAATAATATGATTAAATATAAATAAATATATAGTATTTATTCCGGTAATATTTTTATCAATCTAGTTTTAACCTAGGACCCTTATAAGTGAATAGTAATAATTACATATATATATATAAATAAATAGTATAATTATGTCTTGAACTTACGAACCAGTAAATATTTGGCCGGATCATGATACACTTCCTGTACCGAAAAATAAAAATTCGGACATGTTTTTTCTACAAGCAAAATCCGCTGATACAATGCTAAAGTATTTATTTTTTAGTAAAAGCTCATCTTTCTGTCTCTATTTAAATTGTAAAACAAAATTTTGGTATACTTATAAACAAACAAGTAGCTAGCTTTACCGATGTTTACTTGAAGAACTTTTATCAAATACTGGGACAAAGTCATGCTTTAAAGGTTCCGGCAGGCATTCTTGCTGAAGAATTTTCCAATTTTCCTGTAAAATCTATTGCATTTTATAAATCTGATAAGATGAATGCACTCTATACTGTGTTGAAATTTTTGGTGATGTTTAAAATAGGTTTAAATAGTTTTTACTTCCAAAAATTTATTAAAATAACTAAATGAATTCCATATCATTCTTACAACCTACACCTTTGCTTGAAAATAAATTATATTCAAACATAAGGTAGCTACTGTAAATAGTTCAGTATTTCCTTAAAGTGTCCCAAATGTTCAGATATATTTTAAATGTATTAATCATCGGTTCTTAAATATTTGCATGAAATATCTCTTTACACTCTTTATTCGTGTTGGATTGTATAGGTTTACAAAATTTAATTTACGCTTTAAGAGTATATCTCAATTTAATATTAATTAGATTGATATTTAAATACTGTTTATAGTTGATGCGAGTAGTACACATTTAAATAAAACACTTTAACGGTTTAAAACGCGATATATTAGTTAAACTTATTTGAGTCTCCCCGTGACCACGACTGCTGTAAAGCATCCGAAACGTCGGGCCGAAGTTAAAAATCATTTTCAAATAAGTTTAACTAATATATCGCATTTTAAACCGTTAAAATGTTTTACTTAAATAGATTGATATTTCTTAATTCTGTGTAGGAAAGTATATAGAATGGAGAAATAAAACGTTTGATGCAATATGAAGCGATATTAACACAACGTTTAATTATATATGGGTACAAAGCATGTAGTATCATTTTCTTTTCATATGTTTACGTATTGTCCGCCACTGTCTTCTTAATCCATCGGCTGTAACTGAACACATTTGCAAAGACATCCGGCGCGCCTCGAGCGCAGGGAACGTTAAACGAAGTTATACCAACAACCTCATCTTCGTAGACTAGAGGACCACCAGAGTCTCCCTGGGAAACGTAATTATTTTGGAAGAGCATTAAAAAATGTACATAACAAATTAATTAACACTGGCGTATTAATTAATTCTTTTCGTATTAATTATGTATTAATAATGATATTTCCTTCTTACCTGACAAATTCCTACATCGCCGCTGACATAGGTGCAGAGTTGTGTATCAACGATTGGTTCCTTTGCGGCTCTCTTACTATAAAAATCTTTGCATTGTTTATGGGAAATGACCGTTAACGTTGCCTTTTGCAAGGTGTCTGGGACTCGATTACCAACATGCTACAATGAAATAGATTATAGTTAATAGTTTTAGAGTTATACCTAACTCTGGCTTAAATAATTTTAACTTAAGCGTTAATACGTTTAGGTTACAATTGTAAACTCCGGTAAGCTGTTTTTTTTAAGTGCGAAAGACTCCGGATTTAAATTGGATAGTAAAATTCACCACTGAATCAAAGCAGCTTTTTAAATCTAACTTTAACATAGGACTTTTTTCCGCATTAAGTATTTATACAATATCTAATTTATAATAATATAATAGTATTCTTTATACCTGCTTATTAAGTATCAGATGAGTAGTTAATTCAACTTACTTCCTTTTATAATGTCTGTAGTTTACGCGAGTAGTACACATTAAAATAAAACACTTTAACGGTTTAAAAACGCGATATATTAGTTAAACTTGTTTGAAAATTATTTTAATTACGGCTCGACGTTTCGGATGCTTTGCAGAAGTGGTGGTCACGGGTTACAACAAAAACAAGTTTAACTATTATTTAAAACTATTTTTAACTATTATTTATATATCGGTTTACTTTAAACGGTTGAAGTGTTTCATTTAAATTACTTTCTTTAACTTTTCAACTTACATTAATATATCCCCACCCTGATATGACAGCCTTAGCACCAGGGGGCACCTGTTGAGTGGCCAACGGGATGCGCTGGATTTTTTTCTGGACATATTGCATGATAGTCTTCGTCTTTATAATGGCGATGTCGTTATGACGAGTCTTCAATTCGAACCCATTGAAAAATGCTTTCTCTGCTTCGTATGTTTTTCCAGCTCCATTGTAAACTATTGTTCCAGCAACTATTTTGTATTGGTTTATCGTGTAACTAAAAAAATATTTGTCACATATTGCAGAGATGGCATTATATAAAATACATAATAATACACAATAGAGATATAAAATTTCCGTACTTTGATATACAATGTGCAGCTGTCAGAACCCACTGTGAGTAGATGATCACGCCACCACAGAAGTGATACATTTGATTGTCGCCCTTATAAATGTATCGTAGCGATACCGTGTAAGGGAATTCGCCTTCTTTCGCATCATCCCCACCCACTACTCTCGTTTCGGGTTCCCTTCCGCTGTCACAATTACCTGCGAACAAAATAAAAATAAATTTAAAAAATGCCCGTGTCGTAAATTTTTCAAATTTACTAACATTTGCTCAACAATTACAGAAATTCCTATTCCTACGTTTGCATTACTAATTAACTGGTAATATACATTAATTATTTCCAAATAAAATATTAAAATATTTGAAACAAGTATAAAGTACTTACCAAAGAAAGGCAGTGTTGCCACGAGGAGATATGTTAAATACAACATTTCGATGACAGTGACCTTACTGTCTACTACTATCTTTCGGTATTAAATAAGTAAGCTATTTATATATACTCGAAACATTGTAAAGACGTATGTAAAGTGGAGAAAAATTATTTAAGGAACAGTGATGTCATTTTGGCGTTTAATTGATCTACAATTAAATTATATTAGTTGAAACGAATACGCGTTCGCTGGCACATCGGACTAAAAAAATAACCGGACGTTAGGATGGGCTCGAGATTTGGCTGGAAATCGGCTTCGGTTTCGACCATCGTAACCTGAGTGGGAGATTGAAGAGCTGAACAAACTCTCACTCATCTATTTACGAAGCCCGAGTTACACAATTCATTCAAGCAATACAGATTTATATTTTGGCAAACGTTCTCTTGTCAACGAAATGTGATTACCATAAAAACGGTTCTCGTGAGTGAAACTTTTTAGATTTAAAGAAAAATAATCATTTTGTACATATTTTTTTGTTTTCTTGAACCCTTTAGCGGTGCACGCAATCGAAGCCCTTAGACTTTAAAAAATTTACCCCGTTTTATCCTCATTTCCTTTTGTTTCTTCGCTCGATCTTTGTTTTAATATTTACCACCACTATGTGTGAAGTTTAAGGAATATTGTTCATTTTATAATATTTAGTATTTATATATAGATAAGAGGATATTACAAATGTTCGATTAAAATTCAAATTTTTGTTATCTATTTCCATAACATAATAAAACTGGCGTGACGAATTGGAATGCATAATTACGAAAAGACAATCATGTGTACAAGAAAAACGCATTTTTAATTAATTTCGGAGATTATGCAATATGTAATTTTATATTTTTATTATTATATTATTAACATTTTTTTATGACTCCATATTCTTTTTTATGCGATTATCGGCTTTCGTTTGGGAATTCATCTGTGTCAATAATTTACTCATGTTTTTGTCAAAATAGAAATAAGATTAATTTGTATGTCGTAAATAATTATTCTCTCCGACCGCCTCTGTAGCCAAATGGTTAAACGTATTGCCTAGCATTGCGTTAATCGCGACAGGTCCTGGGTTCGAATCCCAGGGAATCAAAAAATTGTTTCGGTCGGCAAAGCAGAGAAGTCTGATCAACTACTTGCCTATTAAAAGAACGGATCAGTGAAACGGACACAGAAATGTGTTCGCCCAAGGGGGCCGAGATTTCACACACAGATAATGATTCTAAGATATTAACCACGGCGCATAGATAAATACTATTATGGGGGTGTTAAGGGTCCAAGCCGAGGCCGTTGCTCCCCAAGCGACGAGGATTGGATCGGCTTGGGACCTTTGATCTAGACCTACCTTTCATCAATGGTCAAGGGACCATTGATCTAGCCACAACCCCACAAGTTTGCGACAAGACCGTGGCCATCCGTTAAGTGTTAACGTTCTTCGGGCTAACATGTCATCGTCGATTTTTTTCAACCTATTGATGCAAGGAATATAACGTAACGAGTATTCCAATTAAATAATCAATTTCCAAACATTAGACTAGACTAAATTAGAGAAGACTTTTTTGCCGTTGTTGTAGAAAATACCGTTCCGAAATTGGAGTAATCTTTGAACACTCCTTGTGATCGTCTCCCGTAGTTCTTGCAAGTTAATCTTAAAAGATAGACATATATAAAGATACCGTCGCGGACTTTTTTTTAGATAATTTAAAGAATCATTCTTTCATACATCTTTTAAAGGTATCTTGAACCGTTTTCGCAGCGTACGCAACTGAACCCCACAGAGATGAAAAGTTTCTCCCGTTTTGTTCACATTTCGCGCTGTATCTTCGCTTCTATTAGTCACAGCGCAATGTTTTATAGCCTATAGCCGTCCTCAATAAATACTTTAACCAACACAAAAATAATTTTTCAATTCGAACCCGTAGTTCCTGAGATTACCGCGTTCCAACAAACAAACTATTCAGCTCTAAATATTAGTATAGATAGACCAAAGTGTTAGGTCGAAATTACATTGTGCAAGAGGTGCATGCCATAATAAATAGATTTGTTAAATTTCAATCTTAATCCAATCTTATTAGATATTTAAAAGTTAAATATGCCATCATGTGCAAACATGTAACAAACAATAAAGTTCTTAAATTGATTCTTTAAATGAGAATTTAAACAAAACGCAACAGTTTTTATTTACAATACAGATTATGCTTAATTGCATAAAAGTTAACATCATATAATATACTAGTATTTTTTTACTCACAAGGTGTACTGTAATAAACAATAATATGAAATAATTGCATTCCGCCGCGAATAAAAAAAACGTGGAATTGCCGTAATAATGAACAATGGCCAAACTGTACCTGACGGCGACCAAATAATATAATTATGTTATATATCAAAACATCCGTTATTTTTTATTCCAAGAAATATTAATATTAACACATTAAAAAGCTTGTCAATAGGATATGGATTATTTTTTCCGAATATAATAATTTATCGTTAACATTGTCTATAGAATGATTATTTATATTTATTTATGGTTTTTTGAATTATGAATATATAGAGAGCAAGTAAAAGTATTTTGATAACTTCCGTGTAACGGAACAATTTGTTTTAGACGCGCTATCGATTGACATTTCGAATCACTGACAATTGACTGAAAGCTGTTATATTTGTTTTGATACGTAACCCAGTAGGGGTTTAAAACTTATTTAATTTACCCTTCCATAAATTTATTCTGTTTTTTACATCCTCATTTATATACTATTTTTGACGATATTAAATTATGCAGGCTATGTTAAAGTATATCAAACCCTTCATGATTTGTTACTGGTCGCGAAAAATTTTATTTGGGTAGAGTATCCATACAATTTTGACAATTGACATGGATAAATGACAGTGAAAACAGTTGTGACAGTAAGCAAAAAAATAAGCATCGCTTTGTAGTTTGTAGCTTATATTTACTTTTTAGTATTTACTATTTACCGTGCAGGCTGTTGCAAACGGAATAATAATCTAATAATAATTAGATTAACATTTTCATATATTCTCCAGATCAGATAAATTTCCTATTTATAATTGCATTAAGGTAAATTACTAGTTACTGCTTTCATATTATTCATTAGTTTAGAGTAGGTTAACCCATTCTCATCTCAAACCAGAAAGGTAATAAGAAATATTTGAACTACTTATTTCAAATGAGTTTTCTTTTGCTACAGATAGAAAATGGCCACATTGGAAGACAAAATTCTTGGTGAAAAACTACAAAACTATTGCAGTAGCAGCGAAGATGAGGGCTCTGATGATGAAGAGAGTGCGGGAGAAGAGGGTGATAAAGTTGTCAAGTCCTCAGTTGCATCTGAACCCCCCCCAGTCAACAGCTGGACTGGGTCAGCAAGCAACACAGGCCCAAAAGGAGTGCTCGAAGATTGGAGACGTTTCAAACAGTTGGAAGCAGAGAATCGAAAAGAACTAGAAAAGGAGCGTATTGCACTCGCTAAGAAACTTACTCTTACTGTCAAGACACATAAAGAGGAAGAAGCAGATAAAGAAATAGATGAAATAGAAGATGAACTTAATGAGTTAATTGATGAGGACTTCCTTATGAAGTATCAACAACAGAGGATGCAAGAACTCATGACCCAACTACAAAAAGCACCAAAGTTTGGCAAAGTGCAAACACTGAACAGCCAAGAAGAGTTTTTAAATGCAATTGACAAGGAGGACCCAAAAATTACTGTCATTGTACACATTTACAGTGATAAGAATAAAGCATGCCAAACAATGGATGGTTGTTTGAATGTTCTTGCAACAGAATACCCTACTATTAAGTTTTGCCGCATTGCTGCTGATGTAACTGGTCTAAGTCGGCATTTCCGAGTTGATGGGGTACCAGCATTATTAGTGTACAAGGCCGGTCAAGTCATTGGAAACTTTGTTCAGCTTGCAGCCGAGTTGGGAAATGATTTCTTTGCTACTGATGTGGAAAAATTCCTTGTGGAATACGGAATGCTGCCGGAAAATTGATCTATTGTGGTAATTTTTTTATTATTAGTTATTAAGATTTTTATAATGTAATATAAGTGTAGAAGACTGGAGCTTCCTATTGAGATTTCAACTGGGTACTGCTCAAGTTATTTTGAGCTTTCTATTAGTGTACCAAAAACGATAGACCTACAGAAGAAAATCCAAAATTTTCAGCTACATATATGTTTTTCAGGATTTACAAGCACATTTCTAGTTAAATACTCAGTAGAAAACTGCACATGCATTTTTTTTTATTATTCTTAGATCATACTATTAGATAAGGAAATTTCAAATCCCAACTTGTTTGAATTGTGAAACCAGTTACTATAATGGTAAATGTGGATTTCATATAAGCTAATATATTTATTTATTGTATATTGTTGCACGGGTAAGGCACTTTTCAACACCAGTATTACTTTCCACTTAAGGCCAAAATAAAAGAAACAATGCATTTTGTAGTTTTATTAAAGAGAGAAATTACTTATAAATAATCTTAACTATTATGGAGTTTTCTTATAAGTATTGTATTATTATATATAGGAGATTTCTTTAAGTAAATAACGGATCAATACTTGTCCTGATTTTGTAAGAAAATATTAAATTTTAAACTTGAACTTTTAACAGCTATGAATATTGATATAAAATTGAAGTAAATATATCAGAAAATTTACGACCATATGATATATCGAAATTTGCTTACTAAATTTTCTAGATGCATATTGCTACTTATTTAACATGTCTACTTTGCTTATGTAAATCTATAATTTGATCAGTATAATCGTTTTATTGGTTCTATAACCATACTCACAATACAATGGTCTATTAAAGAGACATCCTCGGTAGCGGCAATCGAGGCAGTACATATAAATTGGAGTCACATTGCAAATCTAATAACTTACGTAAGTGCGTTCTGCGAAAGATTTTTATTTCAAGATAGTTATTAACTAATAAGGCAGTTATTGATAAAATATTGCTTAAGATGTCTACACCTTATTCTTTAAGATGTTCTATTGATCTTATATGCACTGAAGTGAAGCAATCTAATAAATAATTCATTTAATAATAATAATGTTACTGTAGAATAATGAGTGATTAAAATAATTATTAACCATCACAAAATCTTCAAAACCTCGATCCCAAAATGTACTGACTCATTGAACACCATTATTGGGATTCCCTACTTGCGTTTGGAAGTTTCAAATTGTCAAATGCGCCACAGCTAACATAGCTCTACAATTTCATCCGACATTTCGACACGCCTGCGCTTGGGAGGTTTAACTGTTTCCACACCTTCGTCCTCTTCAATTATCTCCATATCACTATCACTATCGTCTTTGGGACGGGAGGGCCCAGGTTTGGGGTCGTTTGAACCGTTGGCACCATTCGCTGGCTTGTCTTCTTTGGGAGCCGGCATCGGTGTGTCCAGTTCCGTGACCAGACGCCATGACTTTTCCTCGTCCTCTTGTTGAAGGCGCACTCTGACCTCGTAGTTTTGAAGGAAATCATCCACTAGCAATGCACAGCCATCATTAAGGCCGATTTCTTCTAGAGTCTTGTCATTGTTGTGGTCTGTTTCGCCCGGTTCAGATGAGAGGACAACCAGCCCTTTGCCTTCTACTGCAGCATCCGGGGCTTGCATGTTAAGGCCTTCTTTCAGAGCTGAGTTTAACTCCTTAAGAGTTAAATGTTTTAAATTGCAGGCGAGGGCGACTTCTGGTTTTGGCGCACAGACGTAGCATTTGGGATTAGGTGCAGTTAATGCTGAAAATGACACAGGAATTAATGTGGGTCCTAAAACCATAATATGTTTATGCCATTAAAAATCTACAATCTTTAAGAGATAATCTTATTCCTGTTCAAGTAAGTCTCAGCAAGCAAATAAAAAATCTATTACTACTATACAACAATTATTTTGCAACTTTAATTTAAAAGCTAACATAATATAAAAATAATTACTTCTCTCAGGTACAAATAGCTGCCCACGGTGGTTGACTTTAGGCCTTAAATACACACTGGTGCAAGCCTCTAGCTCTCCTTTGAGTATGTTCTGAGCGCGTAACACAGCAAGACCGGCCACAATAGCATTAGCTGTAGCTATAGCTGGGATGATGTTGCCAGCCATTGCTATAAAAAAAAAGTATAAAGTACTTGTATGTATGGTTTACAAAAGTGGACATTATTACATTACAAATATAAAACTGAAGAGTTTTTTCGTTTGAACGCGCTCATCTCAAGATGTACTGGTTCGAATGGGAAAGATTTTTTAGTATTGGTCGGATCATTTACCAAGGAAGGCTATACAATATATAAACATCAGTCATGACCAACAGCAACAGCAATCATCAGGAGCAAAGAAACAAAGGGAAATCATTTTCAAAATAAGTTTAACTAATATATTTCTTGTTTTAAACTGTTAGTGTTTTATTTAAAAGGGAAATTTGGAAAAAGGGGGAATAAACATTTCTCTTTACGAACTTCCGTTACAGGCGCTGCGAAAATGGTTCGCGAAACCAAAAAAAATGTAGGAAAGAATCATCCTTATGTAAATGACCTAAAACAATGTCCGCGACGACGCGCGATGTTGGACGACGTTGTGGGCAACAACTATAACTTAGGAGCTTGATTGCAAAAATAAATATTATGATGCCCAAAGTAATTATCGAACGCGGAGTCGCAGACACAGCTAACAGCACAAATATTAGCTAATACGATTTTGATTCTTGTTCAAAAAATCACCTAAGTTGACCTATTTCTACAGTATATAACACCAAAAAATTTTTTATATGTTGAACCCTGTTAATATACTTACATTTGATTTCAAACCGAGACTTTAACGGAATATTGAAAATGTGGGCGCGAATATTAGCGCACGCTGTCACGAAGTCCATAGAACTCTTTTCGTCTTTGTCCCATACAAGATGATCTCCAGAAGGACGACCCTTCAGATCTGCTTCTAATGCTTTGCAACTTGCAGCAAATACCTAAGTATATAAATAGGAAATATTATATATAGTTACTCAAAATAAATATTTACTACAATTAAGGTAGTCTAATGGTAATATTTAAATTATGAGAAAACTGCTCAAATACATTTGTATTTATCTTTACAATATAACTTTAAACGGTTCTATAACAGGACCTAGGTCACAAACAAAACTTTTGATACTCACTTGTGCACACTCATGCACTGACCACACTCGCTGATCAGGCAATCCAGAATGCTTCGCTGGAGAATCATCTTTCCCAGGCAAATTGTCCCAAACCAATGGAGTGGGCGGGCGTCTCTTTTTCCAAAGATTCTCCATAGACAATAAATAGTGAATATCATCACCAAAGAGTTTTGTGAACAGCTTCTCTGGTTCATAGTTTGTTTCAGCAGCCCATGTTCTAGTACTTTTTCTTTCCACATTCCCAGTTTCTGACTCTTTAGCGCTTAATGCCGAAGATCCCGCATCACCTGCAGCTTCTGGATCTGCTGTGTCAGGACTGACATCCTGGTCGGGATCTTCTTCACCAAAGAGCTGGTTAAAAAGATGTTTCGCCCAGACAATGCAATGGATTGGTTCAGATGGGGTGTTACGGATCGTACAACCTGGGAAACTTTTTTGAGGTGCTTTAGGCAGACATTCATAACATTGGGTTAGACCTTTCTTGATAAGTTCCACCTGTAATAATATACATACTATGAGATCTGATGATGTTAAGTAATACAAATCTATGTTGGCAAATGATGCCAGACCCTTGTCATGTTGCAACCAATACAGTACGGTGAAAAAGATGGCATCTAATAACAGACATTGTCATATTAGATGCAATCATGACAGTTTTTTTTTTAAATTAATGCAGAGGCATTACTCAAACCTTAGTGTATCAACTATAGGGACTACATAAATGACCTTGTAGAAATATAAAGGTAGCAAAATGTCACAAACTTTTCTACGAAGTACAGAGGTTAATCGATTTTCCTTGACTGAGTAGTATTTACCAAGATAGAGTACATAGTTTCAACCTCTAGAGAAATAAGTCTCGATACATTAAGTTTAAAATCTATTTGTAAGACACAGGAGGAGGGCATCAAATTACATTTAATAATCATTGATTGATCTTACCTGACCAGCATAGCCAGCAGTACCTGTTTCCACTAGAGGTACATCAGCCGCTAAGCACATCCTATTCACATGATTACGAGCTACTCTGTTATCTAAAGCGTTCATAACAATGTTGAACTGCTTGAAGTAACTGACTCCATAGTCATTACTGAAACAATGGAATATAACTTTATACCAGTAAAATTGACAAAACATGCTCATTTTCATATTTGAAAAAAAAAAACAAATAATAACGACATTGCAGAGTTATACCATCAAGAAAAAACAGTTTGATGCATGTACAAGTATTAAAATTTATCAGCAATATACATATGTATACAGCTTTTAGGATTTACTGACTGCTTTATTAACTAAATTTGGGAAACAATACCTTTTTGTAAGCTAGTTACTTTAAATATGACAAAAATAAATTAAAACTTGCTCAAATAAAGTAAATACTGAATATTGGTAATACAAAGCTTACCTAATCACACTGTCATGATGAGCTATAATATTTACGTTGGGATTGAAGCTGAGGGCACTATCCTTGGCCACTTGTGCTTTTGATTTACCAACATGCTCTTTGTGGAAAAGAAACTGACGATTTAAATTGCTGACGTCGATTGTATCAAGGTCAATCTGAAAAATGCATTACGAATAGTCAGTTTAAATTATTATATAAACCGTATTTAACTCATTTCATTCAAAACATACAATCTCAATATTTGGAAAGCCAGTTAAGACGAGATTCTTCAAAATCTCACAACCTATACCACCGGCACCGACAACTAAGACTTTCGAATTAGCAATGGCTTCTGTTAGTTTTTCATCAAAAACGCCTGCAACTCTCGCGACCATATTGTATTTAGGATATAAGCACTGTGAAACGAATTATATTATATTGAAATAGTATAAAAATGCGAATCTGCGTTAAAATTTGCACCTAACACTAAACGGCGTTGAAAATTGACACAACAAGTGTCAAAAACGGCGTCAGTCGGCACTTAGAGGAAAAACTTCTCATAGCCACTAAAAAAATATGACTATATACAGTTAACTATTAGTGTTTAAATATTAGTATTTAAATTGGATGAAGAGTATTCAGTTTAAACTTATCAAAAAGTAGAGGCGGGTTTATGAGATATACTAACGAAATCATTCGATTATGAAAATGTCTCGAGATATCTCGATTATAGCGGTTAGTAGTTACTAATATGTACTAGTAAGTAGAGTTGGACGATTATGAGATGTACTAATGGAATCATTCGATTATGAAATATTAGAAAATACAAAATTGACAAGTAATACATGAAGGAAATGAACATGTATTTATTAAAAGATTATTTAAAACTAAAAGTCATATTTACACTTTTAGACAGAATTAAAAAAAGGTCGGTCAACTTACTTTTAAATCCACTAAAAGGTGCCACGTCTCACAATATCGTAGTAAACAGAATAAACTACGATATAAAATTATCTATGATTGTTTAAACAACTAAAGTCAAGGAGTGCACGATTAGTATTACTAATTATTAGAAACATCATTCGATTATGAAAACAAAATAGTTACTAATCCCATAATCGATTACCAACATTAGTAATGCAAAATAAATCGTCAAAAAGTGTTTTTAATTGTAATTATATTTAATTTAAATACATGAAAAGCATAGACTATGTAACAGCAAATGTTAAGTGGCAGTAATCCGTAACTTTAATACGTCAATGTCAAAGTCAATTACATAGCGTCTACCGGTACTTCACCAGTACCAAAGCTTAAAAGTTTGTTTTTAGTTAGGTTAGAAAAACATACAAGGTTGGAAAATATTTTGTTTTACGGCTTTCTCTACTTTCGTTATCACTTTCAATAGTATATAATTAGTACATTCACCATTAAAATTTAATATAGTTATATATCTTTTTAGGAAATTGCAAAAATGGCGGCGGCTATGCCAATCAACCCTAAACCATTCTTAAACAGCCTCACAGGAAAGGCCGTTCTTGTAAAATTGAAATGGGGCCATGAATATAAAGGTCTCTTGGTATCTGCCGATGGCTATATGAATTTGCAACTCGCGAACACTGAAGAACTTATTGATGGATCCTGCACAGGTTAGATGTAGTAATGTTTATAATAAGCAATGCTGGAGAAGCATATTAAATTAATTGTCTTGATCAATTAGAGCATCATATTGGTACAAAAACCAAAATGTGTGCCAAATACAGGGACAAAAAGTACCCAATGTGTTTTGCTGATTATGGCATCACATACTCCTAACACTTCCATAACCATGTAAATCCATTAAAAATAATTATGCCATAAAATAACTTCTACTTCAGGTAATCTAGGAGAAGTCCTCATCAGGTGTAACAATGTTTTATATGTGCGAGGCGCTGAAGAGGAAGATGAAGAAGGGGAAATGAAGGAATAAATTGTAACTATAGCTATAACACTAACATTAATGTCTTTAATAATGAAAGATATGTTTAAGATACTATAAGTTTATACAAAGGGATGAATGTGATTTCCATTAAATATAAGTAAACCTTCATCTTTGTTTTTATTTCAGGGTATTTCATAAATTATATTGGGTTTTGAATACAAACGCAGTTAATTCATAATACATCATTTTATTTCTCATTGGATAAAAGTCATACAGTAAATACAGTTTGATAAACTGTATTGCCAATTTAACAACAGTTTAGGTGTCAGTATAGTTATATACTTTAATAGTATGTTTTAAAATTAAAGTGATGTGTATTATTACAGAAGATTAGAGTAAAAGACATCATATTAAGGCAACAACATCTATCTCTATGTCAGAACAAGTTTTTTTCAATAAGACCATAAAGATCACAGGGGCAAGATGAAAGGGTATGAGCACAGGGATTTGTATTGCTGCTCTACTGATTTAGCTGCATTGCCCCACGCATCATTAAAATTTTGTTTAATCCTTTTATATTTGTAGCTCCTGTGCTATGTAATTTAAACCCCAAAGTCCAATGCCCTATGCCCTCATTTTCATCTTAATTTTAAGTAGATTTTAACTGTTTCAATCACACAGATAGTTGAGAAAATTAAACACAGTATTTCTAATAAATTTAAATACACCCAAAACTATTCACTACACAATATACTGATATAGTCCTAGTACATGCGTAAAATTCTGTTTAAAATTACTCTTATTATCTGAATATTGCTTATATTTTTCAGCAAAAAGCTATTATTTTGTATGTACCATGCTTAGCAAAAGATCAAAAATATGGTTTGAACAATAATGAAATCCAAACACTTATGATAGACGAAAGATTTTTGAAATTAGTGAAAATCCCAATGAGACCTTGTGGTCGTTGTCACAATCCTTAAAGGCCCATAGGCCATACAGGACAAATTTGGAGGCTTGTCATAATTACTGTTTTGTAATTTTAAAAAATGCTGATTAAGCAAGTGATAGAAACCTAAATGTTACTGATCTAATAAGTATGATGAACAAATATGTAAAATACATTTTTACCTATGACATGTCATACTAACATACAAGATATTAACTATTTTATTAACAGTTTAAACCAAGTAGCAAGGACCGTGACTCAAAACAGGATAATAATGTCAATTATTTAAAAATAAGGTTACCTATTTATAAAAATATGTAATTTGAACTTAAACAGTTAAATGCTCTGGCGGTATAGAAAGATAAAAAATATATTGTATGTTCATAAACATATAATACAATTAAAATTAGAATTGGAATCCTTATAGAGACAAGACCACAAATAGCAGAAAATCAATAATAATATGCTGTAATAGCAACAAACCGCCTATCCAGGAAACTTTGTTCTATTTCCACTGACCCACCTGCCTCCTGTGCTATAGCCAAAATCTGTAAAGAGATAAATTCATATTAAACAATACATATATTAGTATGTATAAAGTATACTTTTGCTCTAGTGGCTAATATTGTTGGGGATGTACAGACTTATTAAGACTAGGGGCCAATCATGGAGTGATGGCGGGCCACCAAAAGGATAGGTAATTAAAGACAATAAAGAATTGATAATAATATATTACAATTGAAAAACAATTTATTATTTTTGCTGCCAGCGGGCCACTAGCATCTCTGCTCTATATACTCAAACCTAGAACATAAATATATGGGAACACTAGAGAACATAGTGTCACTATAAAAAGTGAAATCAAGGAACCAGAGAGGACAAACCAATATCCTTAACAAAGAATGTGTGAAATTATACGCAGGATGTGTCACCCAGCCTTCTATCAATATCCTCAATAGAAAATAATAATAGACATGTACTCACCTGATCAGTTTTAGAGTTCCTTGGCAGGTAAAGTGTAACATTTGAGTTAATATCGCGGGCAACCCTCATAAGTTCTGAAGCTGGTTTGGGAACCAGCATTGATTCTATATCGTACTGTGAATTCTAGATAGTAAAAAAATATTTTATTAAATCATAGAGTTGAAATGATTTTATTTGATAAGAGAGGACAATATAGTGAAATAATAATCATAAACAATTCATAGAACATATTTGGCAAAAGAATGGGACGGAGTTTGGCATAAAACTGGACAGCAATCCTAAATGCAGGTGACACTTGCAAGCCGAACTACCCACTTCGTCAAATATATAATTTTGTATATGCCATAGTATTTGTTCCTATGTTCTATAAAGATATTTCTAAATTTAGAAGAAATAGTTATATTAAATACTTACATCAGAATAATCAGGTCCACCCCAAGGCGGGCTTAAGAAGACCATGTCAGCACTCAGGTTCGGTGCCAGTTGGAAGAAGTCACCCACTATAAACTCTATTTTATGTAACACCCCATACACCTCAGCGTTGTGACGCGCCATCTCTATTTTTATCGGGTCTATGTCTATGGCAATCACTAAAAAAAAGTATCGGGACTTAAAGAACTTAAAACGGTCTAAGTAAAATCACATAGAACAACTGTTGTAGTAACGCACACATAATAATGAGAAGAGTAATGATGGAAAAATATTCTTATTTCCCCTTATTTATGAATTGCAAACTCGAATTGTAGGTTCATCTGCGGATGTGTATACATATATTTAGCTAATTCGTGGACTAGGAATTAGTTGACAGATTAGCTATGTATTCTGATTGGGACCCAATCCCTGTACCTTAAAAAATCCTTTACCTTTCTGACATGTCTTCGCAAACTGTATAGTATTACCACCGGCACCACAAAATGCGTCCAACACCACGTCGTACGAATATTTATTAGCAATATGACTAGCTACGTTCTCTGGCGTTACGCTGAACCAGCTCTCTCGATCCAGTTTGACGCCATCGTCAAACCTGAAAGCGGTATTCTGATATTGTAGAATTGTTAACAATAATCACTTATAAATAATCGTTTCTTTCTTGTTGATGTTCTGCACAACAAAATAGTTAAAAACAGGACATCTTTTTTTGGACAGGACTTGAACCGGCATCGTCAGCGTTCCGTGCTGTTGCTCTCTTTTTTGTGACAATTTCGTTGCAAATTGTTGCAGTTTTTAAGGAATTCCAAATACATACCTATGAAACAAGGAATGTCGCTTCTTCCAATACTTCATCATTTTGGGATCACCCCTCAGCTCCTCCGGGATATGTGGTGCGTTATATTCCTCCGTGTCGTATTTAGTGTGACGCTTTTGGCGACGACGACGTTTTGTTTGATCTATAAACATACAAGTAAAAATAATGATTCACTGATAATAAAACTAATACTTTAATGGTTTAAAACGCGAAAGTGTGTTGTCGTAAACTACTATCATTTAAAAGTGTGTTTTTGCAACGGTATCCAAGTCTTCTATCCAAGTTTCTCTTCATCTTATTTTACAGTACAGAAATGCATTTGTTATAACTAATGTTTAATGTGCATCCAAAACAGCGAAACGATACAAAAGGTTTGGGCAGTCAGATAAATTGCAAAATTAAATTGAATTATCATAGAGAATTTTGAAATTGTTCACTACTAACTTAGCCTTTAGTTCTGTTACATTTTATTTTAATTACTAATATGCGTTTATAGCTTATATTTGAGGACTGTGTATTTCTGTTTATTCATTTAACTACCATCAAAAAACCAACTTACTATTTGCCCCATTTTCACTGCTTTCCTTATCACCATCTAAATCTTGATCTTCAGTTAACACTTCACTTACAACCGGGCATTTGTTTTCACTTACATCTACATTATCTTTATCACAAGTTTCCTTATTACTATTATTATCTGTGTCATTTGGTTTCTCACAATCCGATTGAATCTCTGGCCCTTCATCTTCTGTCTGTATTTCTTTGTCTTCCTGATTGTAGACTTTGTTCTGAAACTATGTGACATATTTATAGCAATACTGTTAGTATTTTTGTATCCGTCCTTAAAAATTAAACAGGATTAATAATATTTCATCTGTTTTTTTTTAAAGGTGAGGATATGAAGACGAAATATTTATTTTCGACAGAGATATGAATTGGTACATTTTTGTTAATTTTTCAGGAATATTAAATAGGTTCTCGACGTATCTCTGTCGCGAGCAAACAGCATCATCAGAAGATGTTGTTAGCTCCTCAATGGCTCAAAGAATTAGTTTGAATTAATTCTTCGAGCACACTAACAACAACTCGCTTACGTCGGCCGAACAACCCGAAAAACAATAATATACTCTTCACAACATTCAATTTCTATTTATTTGAAAGAAGCTAAAATTTCTTACTTGGTCTAAACTGTATGCATTTCCATCATCATCAAAGTAGATCTTTTTAGGCAACTTCTTATACCTCGGCGGCCTCAACTTGCGCATACGACGTCTGAATACAACATCGCCTTGCGGTAATTTATCTGCATCAAAACTAAATCCCATCGTGTGAAATGTGTTGCTTATTTTATCTGATGGCATTTCGTCTTCATCTAACTCATGACTGTGGAGAAGGAATAAAAAAACTTTACTGTAGAAGAATTTTTTTTGGTCTTGAAATCAAGTTTTTAGCAGACTGAAGAGATATTGAAATCATTACTAAAATAATATTAATCAATAGTTTTAATTGCCTACACCACAAACTTATACATATGTAATAAGTCTTAAAATCTTAATAAATGTCCAATGTTGATAAACAAACTTTAAGAAATGTGGTTGTCATAATAAGTTTCTACCTTCTCTTGAGCGTAGCAGCCCTTTCTTCAGGAGGTTCATCATCACCATCATCATAGCTGTGATCTTTATTTCCTAATTCTTGCTGCTTACCTGGGCTTACATGTTTTACCTTACTTTCTGACAAATCCAAATCACTTTTATCTGCATTATTATCACCATCTATAGGTTCCGTTGGTGTTTGGTTTTCATTACTTTTAACTAGATTTTGTAGTAATGCTCCTATTGAATTGACATGTCGGTTATTTAGTCTGTAAGAAAGAATGGTAGTAGGATACATGAATGTATGGAAAACAAATTTTGCAGACAAATTTTTGCCTGTTCTCTTCATAAGAGTTCTGATTAATTTGTCTTGGATAATGGTAAATGTTTGAAAATGGTTAAATATTTAAGTCTCTAAATGCGTTGCATTGCATTTACTCATCTTTAATCATCACACATCGAAAAAGATACTATTTGTCTGTGGTCTTACCTATTCTTAGTTTTTGCCGAATGACAATAATTTTCAATATCTGTAACATTAGCTTTAGCACTTTCGTCGTTGGACTTTTCAATTTTCTCATCCTGTTTGTCATTCATCTTAGAGTCTTCACTATCAGCAGATGCACTAGTATCTTCTTTCTGATCTTGGAGCAAATTTTGCAATAAGGCTCCAACTGAATGAAGCAAACGGTTTGACTTCTTCTTTCTCTTTTTGGGCTTAGCTTCTTCTTCCAAGATCACTTTCTCTATTTGCGTTCTTACTTCGATAACGGACGGTAATTCCTGTGAATTTCCTTCGCTATTTTCACAATCAGCATCAAGACACTTTAATTCCTCTGTTTTCTTATCAACTGGTTCTTGCTTTTCAGTATATTTGTTGTGACACGATAAATAATGCGCTAAGTGAAGCGCATAGATCTCGCCAAAGTGTTTCTTCCATAAAAATTGCCAATATTGTTCAGTGTCCATTTCTTCTAGAGGTGTTTGATCAGAATTTTCCTCATTCACAATTCGAGTCTGATCATTAAATTGATCATCTGATGTAGATGATGTTACACTATAATCATCTGTTGGTGTTGATTCAGATGTCACGTGGCTTGAAGTAATATCATAACTAGATATTGTAATTTTAGTGACATTGGTTAAAGAATCCGTTCCTTCTACTGTCCTGGGGCTTACAATCCTATCATGCTCTGAACAAGATCTGCGTCTAGCATTGACAGATAGCCATGTTTCATCACATTCAAATTTATCAATCACTTGATTATGTTTACTACTTCTGCCACTCCCATCACAATTGTGCCCTTTCTTGTAGGGATTCACTTTTGAGTCATAAGAAAACTTTCTTTCTCTAACATTTTCAAATTTCGGATCAAAGGGTTCATCAGGATCATTCTTCACTAGATTCTCATCTGTTTGATTGTCATTGAGGTAGGCTGGATTAATGTAATCACTGTATTTTTTTATCCATGAAGCCCAAATTATTCTTTCCCCATTCACAGCCCAGAACTTTTCCCATGTATCTTCAGAGGCATAATTTTCGTCTGTTTGATTTACACCTAGACCTATTTTCTCAATTTTGTCGAGTGGGTTATAATCACTATGATAGTCTTGGTATGTCAAGTCAGCCCCACTGTCGCTGGGCTGTATTGTAGTGGGAAAACTGTGTATTTGTGTGGGATCATGTTCATCTGTAGAGCAGTAGTTATCTGTATGGGATGCACTACAATAGCAACTGGCGTTTTCATCTTTCTGTAGATAAAGTAAGAAAAAATATATTTACATTCATAAATAATCAGTTAATATGTAACCAGTTCATGCAAAACCCTTGAGAAATAATAAACTGTTTTGATCGGGCAAAGCGAAAGAAATTCGGGTCTGTAAATTAAAAAATCCGTGAAATGGATAAAGAAATTTGTATTTGGAAGGAAATGCCCAACTTGGATAAATAGATTTTGTCTCATGAGCTATTATGGGTATATAATTATTTAGTAATTACCTCGCATTTAACTTTATATGAAGTGTCAAGTGAAAAATGCACGTGAGAATGATCATCAAGTTCTTGCGATTGGGACTGTTGAACCAGCTCAATGTCACTCTCACTACCATACTCTTTGTCAACAAAATATGTTTTCACACTATCTCTAAAAACAACGAAAATACAGTGAACACACAAAACAACCGTATTTAACTGTACAAAACGGCGATAACAATAGTAATTTAGGAATACTAAGATGTCCAAATTATTGATTTTGTTTAATGACAAATTAATAAGAATCTCACCTAATAAACACCCTGCTGCACAAGCAATAAACATAGTTAGTTTCCTCGTCAGATTCCTCAGTTTCTGTTTCGCTGTATGTAAAATTAAATTCAGCGAGTGGTTCCCATCGATGGTAATAATCATAATATCCGGACATTTTACTGTAACTATTTAATGTAAACTTATTCCTAAGAGACAAACACTACGCCTATTCTGTTACTAATGTTAACTATAACAAGTTACAGTATTTTAAAACGTTAATCTACAAGTAGTACTTAACATAATTACTGCTATACACTGTATAGTCAATTACTCACTATAGTGTATGATGCTATATCAACACTATATTTTGATTTTAATTTTACAGATAATATTATGGATAAAAGATGTTACAGGTTATACAACTGAAACATTTTTAATTTTATACAGGGAAATCGTCATCGTTTAAGTTAAAAGTGCGATAATAAAAAAATACTTTAATTAATATTATACACACATTATCACATCACACATCATCTAATTATTTTTTATTAAAGATAGTTGAGTATTGTAGCGCCGGTGTTAGTCTATTCATTAGTCTTCTGAAACCCCTATGTATCCCAGGCTATGTTTGACATGTACTCTACAATTAACGTTTTATTGTTTTCCTCTTTCCTGTCTACGATTTACAATAAGTAAATTTAAAATAACTTTATTGTGATAAACCCTGAAAATATACAATCCATTTGTCACTCACACATTGCTATAGAGTATAATTATATGTTATTAAAATGGATAAAGATCTCTAAGTTCTTACAGCTGTTTGTCAAGTGTCAAGCGAACAAGAAAGCCTAACCTAAAAAATAAGTGTGTTCATGTGAAACCCTAATCTCATGTAAATATTGAGAACAACCTTTATATATTTGATAGTTAAATCAAGGTAGATAATATGGGAAAGAAAAACAAAGATTCACTCGGGCGTTCGCTGATCAAAGACAGATTTGCTAAAAATCGTCACCGCAAACATGTTGAAGATAATACAATGGTAAGTGGTAGATTGTTTACTTTTGTAAATTGTAACGCAACATAATGTATCTCTATCAAGCACGCATTAATTTAAATTTGTTTATACAGTGCAGTTAAATGGCAAAATAATTAGATATTAAAATATTGTTTTGCTTTTATTCTCGAATTTTTTCAGTTGCATACTACAGAAGTTAACGATGGATACGATTGGGGACGTCTAAATTTACAATCGGTCACAGCAGAGTCTTCCTTGCAAGAGTTCCTATCGACTGCCGAATTAGCAAATCGCGAGTTTGTTGCTGAAAAACTTAATGTAAAATATGTGAAGTCGGCCCCAAGTGCTGTGGAATTACAAATATCACAACCTGATTATGATGAACCATTGACAGTTCCTAGAAGGTATGCTTATATAGATAAAAGATTGGTTGTCTTATAAGATATTTCGTAGAATAGAGTCTTATTTACATTTTTATGATTACTTATCTCGAGTTTTACCTAGGATCAGTAATTATTTCTTAAAAAATATGTATACATCTATCATTCATTTTTATTTTTAAAATTGAAGTAGAAAGGGACTTTTATATATACGCTTTTTCTGATCTTGATTGCGCAATGTCTAATTACTTAATACATTAAAATCAGGCCACCTTGGAAGCCCGGAATATCTGCTGAGGATCAAATAAGCAGAGAAAAGGACTCATTTCTTGATTGGCGAAGGCATTTGAATGAACTACAAGCAAAGTTAGGTGCTGCTGTTACTCCATATGAAAGAAATATAGAGCTATGGAAGCAACTGTGGAGGACTTTGGAGAAATCAGATGTTGTATTGCTTTTATTGGATGCTAGAAATCCTTTACTCTTCAGGTATCTGGTTGTGTTTTATAATTTATATGACTTTGTTAATTCTAAGGTGCAGTTTTTACATTGTGTTTAAAAAAAACATATTATAAAAATCATCAAATCAGTTGTTTTATATACAAAACAATATTTATAGTGATGATGCTATTTCCAGGTGTTTAGATCTTGAAAAATATGCAGAGGAGAAAAAATGTAAATGCATATTATTGTTAAATAAGGCAGACCTAACAACTGAATATGTTCGTAAATGCTGGGCTGAATATTTCACAAAAGAAGTAAGTGCTATTTCTTAACAAATGATTTGGCTACACCATTTTTTTTTTCTTTATTGTTATGTCTATGATAATTGTAATACACTTTGTTGGAATATGTGCCCTTGCTTTATATGTGAGGACATGGCTTTGATTGTTACACCATTAGAACTAATGAATATAATGGTTTCAGAACATATCCATAATATTTTTCTCAGCAGCAAAAACAGTCAAAGATAGAAAAATATCTGAGGAAAGTACAGATAAACCAGACCTACATACAGATTCTGATACAGAATCCATAGATTCCGAAGATGAAACTGATGAGGAAACACATCCAGAAGACCTAAAACAGACTCAAGATGACATAGACAACTTTAAAAAACAATTAGGTGTCATAGATGAAGCTGTTACAGGTACAGCTAATAAACTAAATAGCATTCAACTGGCATTAGACAAAGTTCTAGAAAATTTAAAGCTTGGGAAGCCAATAGAACCACTTGAAATTGAGAATGTCAGTAGTAACAACTCAGAAACAAATGATGAAAATATAAAAAGTGATGAAAGTAACCGTGAACAGATTGAAAGTAACAAAGAATTCAAACGGGTTTCAAATTCACATGAAATATTTGGTAGAGATCAGCTAGTTCAAGTATTGAAAAATATGAAAGTTGATAAGTTAAAGAATCCACCAAGGCTGACAGTTGGAATGATTGGTTATCCAAATGTTGGGAAATCTAGTACTGTCAATGTATTGATGCAAACTAAAAAAGTAAGTCAACACCTACATTATAATACTAGATTAAAAGCAATTTAGAGTATAAATCCCATCTCAATTAATTTTCAAATCATCAACTTGGTTTCACAATGGTATATTTGGATTGGTGAGTGACCTGTCATAGTTTTTTAACCTAATACCTAGGAAAGACAGTTGGTTTTTAAACCTTGCCACAGGGTGTATTAAAAGGGTTTCACATTTTTGGCATGAAGTACTCCCACCAACTTGCATACTATATTTTAGTTATAATAAAAAAAAACAACTTTATATTTAATCAATCTTTAATATTCACTAAGATATTTATATTTTTCATTATAGGTGAGTGTCAGCTCAATGCCAGGTCACACAAGACACATCCAGTCACTTATACTAGACAGTGACATAGAGTTACTCGACTGTCCTGGATTAGTGTTACCAGCTTACGCAGTTGCTCCAGATCTATTACTCACTGCTGTATTGCCGATTGACCAGGTATGTGATATTTTATTAGAAACAAAATCATTGTGAACATACTCATGTCATAAACATACGCTATGAATGTTTGTTCCTCTTTCACTCACTCACTATATATTATTATACCACGTTTCATTGCTAGATGCGAGCTCACGACGCAGCAATGGCGAGGCTCTGTCAACTCGTGGGTCGGCACACGTTCCAGGAGAGATATGGTCTGCTGCTACCGGAGTATGAAGAGAGCGACATGGAGTACAAGAAGATACTCACAGCTCATGCGTGTGAGTTTATTATTTATTCCTATGAAACCATTTTGAGTGGCAGACAAGCATGTGGTAACTGGATAAAAGCTGACATACTCCAGCCAGCATATGCTGTCGACCTATTTAGGCTTTGAATATTCGAAAATTCACAGACTGCAACCGAAACGCGCATTTTCATCGCGGACAGTTGTTGGTGAGTCTGATGGAATTTAAATATTTCATTATTTTAATAATCAAACCTACGACAGATAGATATATAGCAATATCATAAGACCAGCTAACCATTACTTAATTATAAAATGTTCATACAGAATTGTATTTAAAAATTATATAGGTGACTTGGGTGATGATGTGTGATCGTTCATATAAACGGACTTTAGTTTAGGAAAATGAAGTTTTCATTACATTTCAGTTTCACAAGGATTGCTATGGATGTCGGTACAAGTCCTGCCCGTGTTGTTATGAATCGATTTTCAATTGGAGCTATTTCCTTCCAGTCAACCGAGGTTTCATGACGGCAGCTGGTCAGCCGGATGTCTCGCGGTCAGCCCGTCTCTTACTAAAGGATGCGGCTACTGGGCGTCTTCATTGGGAGCAGCTACCTCCAGGTTACAGCGCTCCCAGCGTGGACATACTCATTGAAGACAAGAAGACTGATACTAGGAAACCAACACCACGAGAAGCCAGGGCGGTTGAGGTAAAGCCAAAAACTTATGAACGTTTAATGACGTCACTTTGTTGTTACGACGGGAATTGTTCTGGCTTGTTGAAATATTTTACGTACGTGTGCTTTTCTTAATAGTTTTTAGTTTATCCTTTAAGAAAATATGTATTGATTTTAGTACTATTCTAACAGTCTATAACAAAAATGTATAGGTATGTATTTATGACATTCTATTAAGAATTTAATTGTTCTAAACCGTTGACGTGTTTATTTTCAAATTAATTGTTGTTTAGGATTTTTTAACGTTTGACTATGTAAATGATATGAACATGAACGATAACGCTTTTTGTTTTAAATAAAACACTTTAACGGTTTAAAACGCGACATATTAGTTAAACTTATTTGAAAAGGATTTTTAACTTCGGCCCGACGCTTCGGATGCTTTGGAGCAGCCGTGGTCACGGGGAGACTCATTTTCAAATAAGTTTAACTAATATATCGCGTTTTAAACCGTTAAAATGTTTTATTTAAATGTGTACTACTCGCGCAAACTATAGACAGTATTTAAAACATTTTTAGTTTAAAACGGGAATAAAGTTATTTTTCATTAATTTTTACATACAAGCCAACGTTTAGATTGCTTTGCGCCAGCGAATGTTGCTATATATATGTATGTAGATAAATTTATAACTATTCGAATTAATTCATCTTTTTTTCATTCCCAGGGCTGGTTGAACAAATCGTCTGAGATCGATAAGGCTTTCTTCGCGATGCAAAAGGGCGGGGCACACGTCAAAGGAAAACCAATATTAGGGTACGTGAAAATAATTTAAAATGTTGCAAAGGAAAGAAGATCTAGAGAAACGTTTTTATAGTTTATGATGGAAGGAGAAATACCATAACCTATTAACATCCAAACAAGAGGTGATGTCGATCTATTTTAGGTGACAGACTGAAAACTGAAACTCGATCAAACTTTCGCTATTGGAGCCATTTAATTTTCTAAAAAGGTAAAAAAAAATTGTCGTCTGTAGTTACATTTAAATAAAACACATTAAACGGTTTAAACGCTAAACCAATACATTATTTTTATTTTAACTTTTTGATTAGATTTAACGTTACCAGCGTCTGCGGTCACGGGGACAAAATGTCGGGCCGAAGTTGAAATTAATGAAATAAAACTCTATTTAAGAAATTCAAACCGTTAAAAGTGTTCCATTTAAAAACACTGTTTATCTTACGATACCTAAAAAATTCACAACCAACAATGAAATTCTTTAATAGAGACGCTGTCATAAATATTACTCGCTTCTTATATCGGTTGGCAACAGTCAAACACTATTCTTTTAGCACCTTGAAGACGTTGCAAGTGAATTGTTTATTTTTAAAACACATGGTTAGCGTTATTCAATTCGAATGCGCCGGAGTCGAAATTATTTTTAAATTGCGTAAACAAATTGAGATCTGGATTTCTTAATACGTTTTAAGATTCACATTGTACTGTTTTGATTACTGTGGTACAAGAGTATGGTGGGACTATTTGGTTCACCAAAGAACTAGTACCAGCAGGTTGGTCGTGTATATGTGTTTTTTACTCAGTATATGATAAATTGTGTTGTAAACGTACTTTTGCAAGACAACACTTTTCTTAAGAAATGTGTGTAGTTTAAGCGAGTACACTTTGAAATAAAACACGGTAGCTTATTTACAATTTGAAACTTTTTAAACATATCAAATAAGCTTAGTTTCTTTAGAAAAAAATATGTTTCTATTTTGTACGATATAATTTAAGAGATATTTTAACTTGTACGTACAAAGTTTATTATGTTCTTCCTGGGATCGATTACCTGATTTTACAATTCAATAGACAACATGTAGCAACGTTCCTCTAGAAGTTTCTAGAACGTGACAAGTTATTGCATACAAATTTACTTTTGAGCAATTTCCACGATCGTTAACCCTCCGTCGCGTCGTAAACTAGTTAAATTTTATGAATTAACGCTTGGCCAAAAGCCAGAGTGGCGATTTCAAAAGTTTATTTAGGTTTCCCTTAAATATAATTGATAATATTTAACAATTTCTCTTTCATCTCGGTGATTAGGCACTCGTTCTGCGGTTCTAAGATTTATATAATGGTGCACTCTGGCGAAGGGGCTTTGTTTATCTCTATTGGAAATATCTCATTTTTGTTAAACTGTTTCGTTCATGGATGACTCACCTGTTAAAGCAGAAATGTGACTAAGTGAGTAGCCGAATATTCAAAGCTAAAATAGGTCGAGAGCACATCTAGTGTAGATGTTATATGGCTCGGATATTTGAGCCCCATCGAGTGATCTTATTGGATTATCACCAATATACTCTAAATAATAATCATATATGTATAAGACTAGCTGAGTCAGCGACTTTGTCCGCGACCTGGAATACTTTTAGCCTTTTTTAATTGGGAGTAGTAGTGTTAAACATTTTTTTTACCTACTAATGTCTGAGGATAATCTTCTTGTATGGTTTTAAGAACCAAGACCTACCAATATTATTTTCGGTCCACGTTAACTTGCAAAAAATAAAGTATAATATGATATAATGTTAATGCTTTCAGAATCAACGGTGCAGCAACAGCAGACAAGCTCCTCAACAAGCCCTGGAAACAGGAAAAGAAACACGCAAATAAAAATAAAAGGGAAAAGCTTAGACGGGTATACGCACATTTAGACGAACATTAAACGCTATGGAGCCATGTAAACATGTATTTAATATCTAAAAAATATATTATATACGAAACAGTGATACAGTTTCTGAGAGTTTTATTTCTACATTATTGATTAAAAATTTCACAATTATACAGTTGGTTTATAATTTTCTCTATGCCTTCATGCTAAGTAGAGTAGGACAGGCAAGCATGGATTCCACTTGATGGAATGTGAGATATCCCAACAAGATGCGCTGTCAAGCTGTTTCGGTTTTGGATATTTGGATGGCAACCGAACGGCGATTAATTTTCACGGCATTTGCGTATGGTAGTGACCCACCACCTGTTAATTATTAGCCATACATTAACATTGAGTACACCGACCTATAACGACTTTGTGACTTACAATGAATACAATTTTTTTCTATTAACCAAAAAATATTATTATTAAATATCATTTGGTTTTTGATAAATAATGGCAATACTGTAATTGGGTTATATTATTGTTTACACTCGTAGTAATTAATATAGTTCATCCTTTGGTTATTTAATTGATAAACCAAGTAGTTGGTCCTGCTTATTTGAATGTATATTTGATCGTTGGAATTGCATATTTCACAAGATAAAAACCTAAACGAAACATAAACATAAGCCACTATTAATCTCTGCCGCTTAAATTAATAACCTTGCACCATTTACGTCAGTTCACGAAATAGATGTTTGGCGCCAAAATATAAATTCTTACAATTGGTTAAATATTTGTCTAAAAACATTCAACAATTATCTGAACTTATTTCTCTAAATGTAGGTAATTAGAAAATCCATAATAGATTTTTAAAAAATACGATGCGGGCAGCATTGAGCTGCCGTGTCAAATATAGCTATTTTTGACACATCTTAGTACCTAATAATTGTTTAAGCCCAGTTTAACACTTGCCGGTCATATGTTTTTGGGCTGTCGACCTTTGAAAACCGGATATGTTTTACCTTGTGTCTGCAGATAGACAAAGGGTGCCCCTAGTAGCTGAGCAAGCAAGAGCTGAATGAACGCTCACTAACGGATCCCCTTTCGCACTGGATGCTTGCGGGGGGTGTCGGGTTCGCGACACGTTAATATGGGCAAGGACAGGCCCGTATTAACGGTTAGTTAGGGAGTTACCGAAGCAGTGGTCCTCGGCGGAACCGCGCGCGCCCGCGTCTTCGTCTCGATCGGAGTTTGGGTGCGGAGGAGCGCGTCCACGGGTACAGCCGGAGCCAGGCCACGGGTCGCGTAGTCCAGCCGGAGGCGACCGACGCAAGCCTTCGCCACAGGTTGCGTATCCCGTTGGCGGGCTTACGCAAACTGCACTGCGTGTAGCATCGGACTCTGCACCTTGGGTAAATGGGCAGCCGGCAAGTCGCAGCTCGTGGGCGCGACGTGTCGACCTGGGGGTCTTCGTTGGTGGTTGATTCTCCTCATCTTCTTGTCTTCATTGGTACCTCTTGGAAAGCGCCGCGCCCCGGAGTCATGTTCGGTGATGATGAATGGGATGTGGCGGAAGCAGCCTTAGACTGGTTCGCGCCAAAACCCCTCCTGGTCTGGTGCGGCCGTGGTTTACGCTCTTCAGTTTGGAGTCGCGGAAGTCGTCTTTCGGCGAATGGCGCGCGTTTCTCGCGCTTAGGCGAAGCACGGAGGACCTACAGGCACTGCCCAAGCCGTCGAACCCATTCCGGGCCCCTAGCCAACCCGCAAGGCGGGCCGTCTAGAGGTGAGCGGTTTGGAGACGACGGCGAACTCTACTGGATGTAGGGGTCCATACTTCGGCTAAGCGGATCGTTTTTCCACAAAAACGACGGCTTAGCACAGAGGTGGGCACATGTGCGCGCGGTTGCAGGTAGCCGTCCTGAACGCTCTCTGGGGTGCGGCAGCCAATTTATATCAGCCTATCAAAACAGTTGCACTCCGACTTAAAAACGCGCCGTGTACGCCTGGTATGCATCAAGCACAAGTGGTCCTGGATTCAAATCCTGAAAAACATAATGGGTTCACTTAGGCACAGCAATTAAATAAAACACGTTAAGGGTTTAAAAGGCGCTATATATTAGTTCAGCTTATTTGGAGATTATTTTAACTAACTACGGCCTGACGTTTCGGATACTTTGCAGCAGCCATGGTCACTGGGAGACTTTAACTAATATATATCGCATTCTAAACCGTTAAAGTATTTTATTTAAATGTGTACTACTCGCGTAAACTATAGACAGTATATAAGCACAGTACAAAAGTATTTACTTAGAGATATCGTTCAATGAAACAGACAGATGCCTGGACCCGACGCCTTATAGGTAAAACGGAATTTCACGTTTAAAACATTTTCAGAAAAACCTCGTAAACTAAGATTAGTGAGATGAGTAAGAGGTGAAATATTTCGGAATTGTATGAAGTTATCGTCTGATTTACAACGCACTTGCTAATTTAAGCGCGAGTGCCCGACTTTACGTTTGTTACTCGCCAGCGCACGCTAAAACCATTCTGGTAAAACTAATCTACATGTTAAAATCGTTGGGAATTATATATTACGTACTCGTCCGCATGCGTCACGTCGTTTGTGCAAGTTAATCTTAAAATAAAGACATATACTGTCGTGCACTTTTTAAGACAAATTTAAGAAGAATTATTCTTTCATAAATAGTTTTTTGGTTTCATGAATTTTTGCAGTGCTCGCAACTTGAGCAACTTAATTAATAATTTTCCCCGTTTTTTCCACCTTTCCCTCTGTTCTTTGCAGCTAATAGCTATAGCTTAAAAAATCCTCCATAAATGCTCCAACTAACACGAAAATAATTTTTCAATTCGAACCAGTAGTTCCTGAGTTTAGTACGTTCAAACAAACATATAAACTTTTCAGCTTTTTAAATAGATAGTGCTAGTTTGTAACAGCAATTACCACGATATTACAAGTAACTGTACCATCCTTGCTTCTTCCAAAATATAAAGCCTTTTTTAATTATATAGGCATTACTTTCTTTTCTTTAACAATAGTTTTGATAAATATTGAATAAAACACAAACCTCAGCTTAACTAGGCAATATATTATGTTTTTGTTATATTTATATTCCGTCATTACCTTCTTGCCTCGTCCACTCATGTAGCACATCCTTGCCTACTAAATATAAGTAAAAATTTTTTACATTAAAAATATATGCCGGATTATTTATTAAACACATTGGATGATAATAATTGTATAAATAATTTTGTCTTTGTGCACTACTGATCCGTGATATACAGTGACGTCTCGTAATATATTAAGGCCTAATGATTTGTACGGGTCCCGAATCCCAAATAAGGGGTTTAAAAGGCTGATGATAATACAATGGAATAATAAATACAGTCTGTTGATTACGCGAATAGTACACATTCAAATAAAACAGTCTAAAACTCGAAAGGTATTACTTATGTACAATTTATTTTATTTGCGGCCCGACGATTCGTTTAGAAGTGCTTTATTTAAATAGAATATAGCTATCTTTATATCGAAATTGTATCTGCGTTGTTATAAAAATAATTCCTCCTATTAAAACAATTTTATCCCGCCATCTTGTCAATGAATTTCAACAGTTCTTTTCAAGTATTTGTTTACACAGCTACGTCGGCCAAATTCAGCAGGTAATAAAAACGATTCATGTGGTAAACTTTCGGGTTCCGTTCCCGTTTGAAACTCTAATATACTTTTAATATTCAACCTAGTTTTCGCAGATAAATCAAATACAACATCTCTTCATATAATCTACACGACCACACTCAGGAAATAGCTGTCTGTAGACTAATCAGCTATTTATCCAAGTCTCAAAGTGCTTTTACACATTTTTATGAGTATTTTCTTAATTTCTACATGAAATAACATTGCCCTCTTTTTATGAGTCATTTCGGAGATCTCGAGCAATTTATGGGCGAGAGTATTTCGAATCAGCCTCCGCGGTCTAGTTTTCTCGCTAAAGATTTATTGTTAGCAATATTATTCTCTTGACTGAGATTTACGACTCGAATTCCACAATTTGTCACCTCTGTTTTTCAGATTACAAGCATATCTAATTAATAATTGTTGTGAAATCCTGTTTTCCCCATGTGGGGCAAGGGTTTTTCGGTTTCCAAGCTTCCGTGAAGGATTTTGTTTATTGGAATTTGTTAAGAATTCTGCCTGCCTGTGGTATTATTATGTCTCAAACCCAACACTTCACATTTAACCATGGAGCAATGGAGGATAAGTAAACGGGAACGATCACAGCTTCTTCAATGTTTTTGCGCTCGCGCATTCCTCGACACCGGTGCAAGTTCTCATAAAGGAGACCTTTTCACTTTGCTGTTGACATTCATGAACGCATCAGCAGCAAAGCGGAAAAAGACAAATTTATGGAGAACTTTTCTTCTGTCTTCATTCTTCATAATGCTCTTCGAGTACCCAAAGAAATGCAAGGTGATGTACCTATCATCAGTATCCCTTATTCTTGTAACTTAATTTGCCATAATAATTACAAATTAAATAATTTATTTCACATGTCGTAACAAAAAATAACACAAAAATAATACAGAGATGTATGTTGAGGGACACCGCTCCGCTTTTATTATACCTGGAAGTAGGCACAACGCCGATTTTCAGTAATGTCCCACGCTTGATATTTGAAGTAGAACATTACATACACACATTAGCATAAAACGAATTGTTTATAATAAAAAAAAATAAGGTCGAATTTATAACTATTGCTTAATTCTTTAGTTATAATAATACAAATAAAACAGAAAACAAATAAAATAGTCCCCACTTTAATATTGTGGGTAGTTTAAGCAAGTAGGACCTATTTAAATGAATTTAACGGTTTAAAACGCGAAAAATTAATAATTACTTGCTTTAAGCAAGCATTTTAATTTTTACGGTTGTTAAAATGCTTGTCTTAAAAAGTCCCCACTTAGGTACTACATTATATACATATCATGTATATAATGTAGCATATCATATATGTTTATCATGCGAAATGTGGTAGATGTATCGTTTATTCGTTTCATTATAATTTTTCCTTGTCGATCCGTGATTGACGTCTCGAAGGCGATTTGTAATATAAAAATATGTTATTTACTTCAAGGAGCACTTGCGGAAATCCATGTTTTGGCATTTGGCCTATTTCGAACACGGTTAATGTAAACAACGCTGTTATGTAAACACAAGCGGTACTTACTGTAAAGATTGAGGAATGCGCGTGTACGGAGAAGAAGTTCGTTACCCGACTGTGACGTTGGAAGATGCTATTTTAAAATGTTTTTGTAACTATTTTTAAATCGAATCTCTATTATTAACTATGTGGCGAAAGCCGAGTGACATCGATCCGATTGTGTGTAAAATTCCATGAAACATCTTGTGAGAAATCTCCATTTTTTACGATAGAGGAGGACAGACAAACATGTCGCTGTCGACCTATTTTGGTCTTAGACATTCGGAAATCCACATAACGAAACGCGATTAAACTTCACGGCTTTTTCATCTGTGAACGCTGGTTCGTTTCCCGGACGGAATTTAGATATCCCTACCACCCGTTTAATATCCAAATTTTCAGACGAACTCGTGTAGTTGTCATATTTTAAAACCCACCAGATCAGACCCACGACTCGTTGCTTAATAGCCATACCAAATATATCATACCATAACCATAAGAGTCCGAATTTAAACATGTCGTTTATGTAAACTTAAAATCATCAAGAAAAACAGCTTATAAAGGAAAGCTGTGTTCATAGTACGTTGAAGATTATAACGAAGTGACAACTAAACTTCAAAGTTCAAACTCAGGCTGGAGTGCTAGGTAAGTAACGTTTAAGTAAGTAAGTTGATGGAAAGTTATACCTCTGTCAAATAACATCCTGAATTAATTTATAATTTAATTCACTTGCTCTAACCACTCTGAACTAATTTACAGTGTAGGACGACAATGTAATGTACCCATTGACTAACAAACTGTAACTCAGTTGCCGAAAGCCATTAATACATAGTAGTCGTACATTATCGGAAACGTGCTTATCTGTTGGCGGAATTCCAAACTGAGCCATACAGGTGTCTGTGCGCACATTATTCCCTGCTTTTAAATCTGTGCAATTTATATTTTAGCATCGTCTTGATCCAGAGTGGAAACAAGGTCGTTCTCTAAATACCTGTTAGCTGAATGTTGTGGCCTCTGGGTATGCCCTAAATGCCTAGACTATCTTGGGAGTTGATGTGTAAGTTGCGATCTTTTATTTGCGTCTTGGCGGACGATTGAAAGATGATAGTGGAAGAAAGTAGCTTATAGTAGAAGTAGTAGACCGAAGAGTGATAATTATTATAATTTTGGAAAGGCCTACTTCCAGGCATATGCAGAAGTCACGATGCTATTTATATATTTAAAGAATAGTAATACACAATTGAGACTAAACTCGCTACCGGTTGCGTAGTGAAAGTACGATTCGAAAAAAGCTCTAGACCTCACGATCACAGTATTCCGTACCGTTGCTCCTACCAACTGAATTGCTCCTATACTTATCTATCAACTCATAGTATAAGCTTCGATTAATAAAGGAAATTTGCCCCGAAATAAGGCCCTATGAGACAATTTTCTATGTCCTTTTGTCCGACAACGTTTTTACAACTATGTATGTTGTTAAAACAATTTATTTTTGAAGTTCGCTGATTTAGAAGTTTTCAAAAATAATAAATTAAATCTATTTTAAATAGTGCGTATTTATAGCGAATTGTGCGTCAATAGTTTCCCCTGTAACCGTGCCAATAGTGGTAAGGAGAGGAAGATGAGGTAATTAGACAATTTGCTAAATTGTTTGTTTCTCGTTCCCAAGCTTGATATGAGAAAAAAGTGCTAAAATTAGTATACTTTTATAGATTTCGGTGTGAGATATTGAAATCTATATTTCCAACCTCCTATAATTTTTTCCAGGTATACCTATATATCCAAAAAATATACCAAATGATTGAACTTGTATATTTGCTACT